TTTTCACTGAGGCTTGTAAGGCAAGTGCTATGCTGGTAACTCTTCTTGTAATTGTACATATACTGTTGTACCATACATTGAAATCCGTAAAGGTTACTAGTTCAGATTCAGATAATTACCGACAAATAATTACCAATCATCGAATATTTGCAAAGTGACTATGAAAAAAATATATGTTTAATTATTTCATGAAACAATACAATTTTACTGTAAAAGTGTTGTACATCATTATTATGACGTGCTATAGAAAAAATATATAATTTAGTTGAAATCAATACACGTATTCCAATCGTTACATACGATATATAAAATTAACGTTTCATTGCCTTTCAGTGCGATAAACTATCAACACAAAGATAGTTTATTATTTTTTTCTATGTATCTAATACGATTCCGGACCCCTAACGGCATACCGTTTTGGAAACCTGCGTGACGGAAACCGACGGAATATACCGAAATCAACGGTTACCATTATATATATTTCAATAATGTGCCTCTTAAGCATAACATTATTTTGGGATGTTCAACCTAAACTAAACTATTGAACTTTCTTCAGAAAGGGCTAAGCTTAACCCTTTACCAAGAAGAAAGGAAAATGTATGAAAATTTATTTTTTTTATGTGTAAAATATGAGTAAACAGGTTTTTCAAATGATATAAAGTATGAAACTGATTAATGACAAATAACTTATGTAATTATCTGTACAAAATTACAATGATTTGCAACTTATCATTTTCCACACCTCTTGCCAACAACCAGTTACCTGTCTTATCAGCAATATGTTACTATTAATAGATTTTATAGCGAGTAAACATGTAGTCACGTGATTCTTACGAAAGACCAGGGAGAATTTATTTATAATTAGATAAAATAATGTAATATAATAGTTCTCATAAAAGATAAACAACCAAACAATTCTAAAGTGTCATTTCAAATTTCATTCATGATTTATAAATTATAAAATAGCAATGCTTGACACATAGAAAAAAGTAAAAGTTACCCTAATATTCAATGACTGGTCCTTGGGGATACGTTATTGATTCATTTTATGAAAATTGTAATGTTGCTTTTAATTAAGATGTCAATATGTGCATATTTCATTTCATTGAGCAAAGTTATCACATGTTTGATTTTTTGAGATTACTGAAAAATAATTGTTGTCTTTAATTGATCAATGATTGATATACTTTTCTTTTCAGATTTTAACGGCTTCTCCTACCATAGGTATAATATTAAACTATTACAAATATAGTCGCCGGTTTCTACCGGCGACTAATAAACTTTATGGAGTTTCATTGTCCATTAATTAATGTGTTCGTTTAAACGTTTGCATTGGGGGTGCCAGAAAAATTAATCACACGACGTCGCTTGTTATAACCACGTTTTATTCTGTCGAGAAAACGGACAATTATGCCTCAGAAATGAATATATTATTACTTCTTTAAAAAGGAGAAGCATGATCGAGATCAAGTTTTAAAGCTGCACGCCTCCAAATGAGCAAAACCATTTCGATAAAATCAAACCTGAGAAAAGTGTAGTAAGATTTTAGGAAAGGTATTCAGTAAAGATTCAAAATTCTAGTAAAACTTTACATGTAATGTGCTATTAATGACCGAATTTTTCAGTATGTATAACTAAATGTTATTGCGTTACGAACGCAGTAAGGGTTTTTTTTTTCATATTTTGACCTCTTTATAGTAATTTACATAGGTTTTTTAGTGGCCTTGATAATGTCTAAATTGCATTATTTTGGTAACTTTACAATATTAAAGCGTTAAATACATTTTCAAATTTTCATGAACATTAGCATGAATCTGGAGGTGTGCTACTTTAAAACATTTAAATAATAGTTTCAGAGCTTGTTAAATGCTTCTTACGAAGAAAGTAGCGCTTAATGTGAAATTATTTGTCATAAAAGTAGCAAAATGTAAACAAAGTAGTATTTTGACTTCCATACAAAATACTAAATCCCTTAAACTGTAGTAATCGCAAAAAATGCACAAGGAGAAAAATATGTATCTATATAACAGTAAAAGCGTTTTTCTTGTGTTTGTTGTCGTTGTTTTCTTTTTCAGTGACGCTCCTAAAGTATAACCTCAAAAAGCCCAGTATGCCCCAGAATTCTTTTTTTTTTATGTCTCAAAGGCATTTTTTTTACTTTTATAATTTCTTTCAGACAAAAGTAATTTAAGATAATACTCATCGCTACGTAGTAACTGATAACATTTTTAGATTTTATTTAGTAACGATGTTTCAATTGAGAAAAAAACAATCTAAAAATGAAGAAAACACATTATTTTCTGTAAATCGGTGCGAGATTTCACTGTTACAGTCTCCGTTTACTATAGAATCTGTACTGTTAGATATACAGACAGAGCTTTATCAAAATGTTAACAAGTGTCTGCATTTCCTTCCAGCAATGCCAGTGCTGATCGCTCAACGATGACCACTGGTCATCTCTCTGGCTTAGAGCTAGGCTGACGTTGTTGTAGATAAATTTGTGTTTGTCACTTTTATTTGCTGACTAGTAAAAGCGTACACGTCATTTGTTTGCATCGGTTTATTCAATGTATATCCTTATATAACGTTAATCAAATACTATACGATCTAGACATTATATCTAAGACGTTTTCTAAATCACGTCACATATTAACACAACTCATATCATTACATAAAATGTTATTATAATGATAATATTAAATTCCTTCTGACTTCAATTTGTAATTTTATGGACCTCAATGGTCATGAAAATGCATAATTTTAACATCTCTAAATGGTGAAAATCAATGAGCTTCCGGGGGCTTCGCCCCCTGGACCCCTACCAGGGCTCTGCCCCGGACCTGCAAGGGGGCCTAACGCGGCCCCCTTAACCCCCTGCCTGAGCGTGCGTAATATCGATTTCGGCCTAGCTACGCCCCTGTGCAGCATGCCTCCAGAGGAGCCAAAGTATGTCAATATAATCAAACTTGAGAAAAATGTACTTATATTTTAGAAAAAGTAAAAAAGATTCAATAATCAAGTAATAATTTACATGTTTTATGCGATTAATGATTATTTTTTCAGTTTTTTATATCAATATTTCTACTGCTGCGTTACTAACGCAGTTAGGGTTATTTTTGCATATTGTAACTCTTTTTTGGTAATTTACTTGGGTTGCAAGATAATGTGTTAATTGCTTCCTTTTGGTTACTTCACAATATTATGCTATTAAATACAATTTCAAAATTTTCAAGAAAATATTCTAAATCTGGAGGCATGCTGCTTTAAATATATACAGACAAATGCGTAGTGCAGAAGGTAAGACTATAAGTGAGGTTCAAAACAGGATAAAAGCAGTATCTACATGTATGATGTGATATATCTAAGGTTGCACCAGGGATCCTGTCAGCGTTAACTACATACGATGGCAGTGTGTTCCATTGACAACGGTCCTTGGAAAGAATGAACATTTAAGGTAATCAACTGTCATCTATAATGCCACACATTAAATCCTTCTGTCATTGCCTGGAAGCCCTTTTAAGGACAACTTAAGGCACAAGTAGGCACAGACAAGCACTGGTAGTATGTACAAGTCATCACAGCTCCTGACACTCTAAAGATAAATCGTTTCACAACCAAAATAGTTGATAATACCATTGATAATTCTATAAAGATATGATAAAAGCAGGCATTATAAAAAAACAACAACACAATAATTATACATTGAGATATTAATATCATACAACAAACACAGTGTAACTTCCAATAGTTCTAATTCTTAGTCACATTATCATGGTCATCAGGCAAATTTTAGCCCTGAACCTGCTGAATATTTTAAATGGACTTGTCCCACTTCCATTTTTGGGACTGTCCATTATCAATTTTAGGGATATATAAATTTGAATATTTAATGTTTGTCAGCCAACAGTATAGAGCCTGGTCAGATTGCATAGATGTGCAGACTGTCCTAGCTCTATACTGGTGGCAAAGGCTTAACGTTTTCGGTTCCAGCACTTTAAGGGTTAAGTTAAGCTGGTAAACAACAGAACTCATGATGCAGGCACTTCTCTGTAAAACATTTCAGATATCATTTTATCAAAGTCTCATGTTATACACACCAACCTTACAGTAATTTTCACTACTGGGAACAGAACCTCACGATGCAGCAAGGCATAACTGATTCTATAAACCACACAGCAATGGAACCCCTGTCGTGTTTTTATGAAATGTTACTGTTGTAGGCTGTGTTATTAGCTGATGACAATAGATTTGATCAATTGTAGACCAATAACATCATACTACAATCTACTTCCTCTTCTTTTAATAACCACTCTTATAAACATCTTCACAGTTTAGAAACCATCCAATATTTTACTTCATGTCATAAATTTATACACTGTTGTTAAATAGTCATATATCACTCTCAAGACTTTGGTTTTACAAATTTTGCTTGAACAAATATCCTTGGAACTGAAAGACCTTCTTTTTTATTAACAGTCTGTCTGTGTACATAGTCACATGATGTGGAAATAAAACCTGCTGACTCTGCAACTTCTTTTAGCTTCTCTGAAGGTAAAAAAGACACATATGACAATCAAGTCTAGCAATTATAAATTCAACAAAAGCAGTGTAGGAGTTGTGGCCCCTGATCTTAATATGCATCATATAGGTTCTTTATAATTACATGTTAGACATTTTATGAGTTAAACATAATCTGTTTTAAAGTTAAGTAAAGAAACCTGGCAAAAATCAAGTTTTCAACAATAGCCACTGCTAGGGGCAGTGTATTGGGAGGGAGGCACCATGCCCTCAGCTTTTTCATTTTACCAGAGATGCTTTAGTCACTCAAAGATAAAGGTCGTATTTGAATCAAGTTTTTGGTCTTTAAATGAAATTATGTTCCTGAAAATTGATATTTCTCCAAGTATGAACCAGATCCATCTACAAACAAGACATGTCAAAAAAGACACATGCCCAATACCTCCAACCTTTAATGTGTAGTAAGATAAAGTAACCACAATAAAAGTCACAGAGACAAATATTGTTATGGTATGTGCTGATAAATAAGGAAAAATAGTACACTCTTATCATTTCAGAATACCCAGAGTAGGTATACAATAATTTCAACAATTACCGGTATAGTTATTTCCAGTGCAATTTGATACATCAATAATTGATAATCATTGATAAGCACAATAATAAACATCATCATATTCACCTAGTATCTAATTTTTTGTCAATAAAAATAACTGTATCTCTGTTTAGTTTGCTTTTTAACAAAGAATTGGTGAATGATACAATGAACCACTTTTCTGAGTGGAACATTTATTTTTCATTCAAACTATTCAAAAATACATACTTAAAGTTTTTTCAAACCTTTATTCTGAGTAAAATTAAGTACATCTATAAAGGTAGTTTCTAAACCTATTAAGGAAATAATTCCTTAATCACGTGATAGATATTTGAACAGTTAAACTGTTAATCAAATGTCCCCTGTACATGACAATAACCATGATAATTGTACATATTAAAATCTAATACCAATCTAAATAAGGTAATATCTCATCAATACACAAAATGCTTGCTATATACCAAGTTTGATTACAATATTTCATTCCTAGCTAAAGTTATCCATGGGAAGCAATTTTTCTGGTCTTAGTAATGGTCTTAGTAATGGTGAACCTAAAAATAATATGTTATCAAGAGTAACTAACTCTAATTATCGACCAGACCCTTTAGTTACAGTGACTATAACCCCAGGGGGCTCAAGTCTCCATATAAGTTATATATGTTTGCCATATACTAAAATTGATTCAAAAATGTAACACTAGTTAGCCACCAGAAAGCACCTGTTTGATGCCTGCCTGAACCCCTGCCCGCCAATCATATCTTTATTCATCATGATCTGAATATCAGCTGATAAATGGCTTCCCTTTAAAAATAGTGCTAAAAATTGCTAATAAAGAAAAAAATTACCAATGGTGAAATAGAAGGCTCTTGTACCATCCTGTCTAACATAGAAGTTTTCAGACAACTTATGACCAGGTGCGAACCTCAACATGGCATAATCATACTGTCCATAGTCTCTGAACAACAAACACCCTCCAGGCTTCAATACCTGAAATATACATGCATGCCTCAAATAAATAACACTGGGTCAAGAAAAGCATGATCTGCCAATCAGAAAGCCTACTGGACTATAAACTCATTGCTTAGTAGTAGAGGTGTCACGGTTAGAAAAAATTCTAACTGTTTAAACGGCAACGCAATAACCATGATAACGTTTAACCGACCGTACTCATAAAATCCTTAAATTTTCAACATAACTTTGTTTCTGTATGACAAGATATGCCATTTTGTTCATATTTTGTTCTACTCAAAATGATTACAATACATATCCCAATATGGAGTAACTATTTTCCACTAGGGTTGTACAGTATTCGATCAGATGGGAAAAAATAATTGTCGAGTACAACTAAAATACAAACAATTGTCATATCATGTCATAAAAAAACCAAGGTAATATTTAGAATCGATCAAAAACTTTTCCACCTCTTAGTCAAATACTAACCTCAATTACCGGTTATTGAATTTTATACCCGGTTCTAAGCCAAAAATCGACTGTACCCATTTAAACAGATAAACATGACACCCCTACTTAGTAGTAACATAAATATCAAGATACTTGAGTTTTCTATGTTCACAAAAAGAATAATTTCTTGACAGTCAATGCAAAAGTTTTTGTCATTGACTTTCAATTACATCTCTTTATAACCTAGAAAACATGACTGGGAAATTGCAACCTTCGGTGATGGCCATCATTGAAAAGTCTTGTTTTAACCTTTAACCTGCTGGAAACATGAGATTAGCCTTTGCCACCAGTAGAGCCAAGCCAGCCTGCACACCTATGCAGTCAAGCCCACTGGCACACACGTGCAGTCAAGCCCACTGGCACACATGTGCAGTCAAACCCACTGGCACACCTGTGCAGTCAAGCCCACTGGCACACCTGTGCAGTCAAGTCCACTGGCACACATGTGCAGTCCAGCCCACTGGCACACCTGTGCAGTCAAGCCCACTGGCACACCTATGCAGTCAAGCCAGCTGGCACACCTGTGCAGTCAAGGCCACTGGCACACCTATGCAGTCAAGCCCACTGGCACACAAGTGCAGTCAAACCAGCTGGCACATCTGTGCAGTCAAGCCAGCTTGCACACCTGTGCAGTAAAACCAGCTGGCACACCTGTGCAGTCAAACCAGCTGGCACACCTGTGCAGTCAAACCAGCTGGCACACCTGTGCAGTCAAGCCAGCTTGCACACCTTTGCAGTAAAACCAGCTGGCACACCTGTGCAGTCAAACCAGCTGGCACACCTGTGCAGTCAAGCCAGCTTGCACAGTCTTATCAGATTTTATACTGTTGGTAGCTCAATTTTTGTATTCCTAAAAAACATTAGACTGTTCCGAAATCAAAGCTGGGCAAATCCATAACACAAAATCAGCAGGTTACGGGTTAATATACATGTTAAATGTACACACCTTGCTTTAGAGCATGCAAACATTATATACCAGCTGGATCAGGATAACTTCCAGACATGAATGAAATGAAAAAAATGTGTAAAATAAAGCAACACTGATGATAATCAGGGGAAGCAACTTTAACTACTTGGTGTGAAGGTAATTTGTATAATTACAGAACTTACTGTATATACATTATGTAAAGCTGTGACCATTTTCTCTGGGTGTATTGCTGATAAAACAAATATCATGGTTGCCACGTCAACACAATTCTCTGTTATATGATTTGATAACTCATTCTCTGTGATGTCACAATGGAAGGCACAACAACGCGCTGCATCATATAATGGATTTTCCTATGTAAAAGATAAAGAGAAAAGTTTTATCCCAACAGTTTATATTTCTATTAATGTCAAATTTTGTCCTTAATGTTATGGAAGGTATTTCAGACATGTATTATTAGTTCTAAAGAATTTAAAGGTTTCATGGCCCTATATAAATGGCTGTTTTCATATATAACCCAAGAAGCTAGGCAAGGATTATATTGCATAAGTTAGACAAGGTTTATATTGCAACAAAAAAAATCATATATGGCCATATAACATGTTAAAAATCTTTATAACAAATTTATAATACAGCCAACTTCCTTTATTAGAGAAAAAAGAAATTACTTCAAATTCATAATTTAACAGCAGCCATGTAAATGATGTACTGTATAGAATTACCGTAATATAAACATAAAGATTATGCAATGAAAAGCACTTTTAAAAACGCGCAATATTACAAATTGTAACAATGACTTCTTAGGCAGTTTATCAATTTGTAAGATTTATCTAAGCTTTATTCAGTTTTTGTGGTTAAGGTCGTTGACTTCAAACCACTTGCCCCTCACCGCTGTGGGTTCGAATCCCGACAGGGACTTTAGATTCTTTCATGTGAGGAAGCTATCCAGCTAGCTTACGGAATGTCGGTGTTTCTACTCAGGTGCCCGTTTGTGCCTGAAATTATGCACGGAATGGCACCTGAGGTCTTCCTCCACCAGTAAAGCTGAAACGTCGCGATATGACCTATACTGTGTCGGTGTGACGTAAAACCCAAAACAAAAAAACAAAAAAAGTTTTTTTGGTCATTCCATATATAATGAATCAATTATTATTAATGTTTATTTACCTTTACAAACTCCACAGCTCGCTTTGAAAAATCACAGGCATAGAAATAAATATTTTCTTCTTCCTCTAGCAATGGGAACATAAAGTTTCCTACACCACATCCGACCTCAAATATCACAGTCTTTTCAGAACCCTGAATGAATATAAATTTAAACATTTTAGGTGAAAATTCCAGAAAAAGGATTAAAATAAATTAGATATATTTTTATTACACAGTCACCAATAGATACCAGTTGAACAGTGATAGACTGAAAAGCAAGGGTCATACAAGATTTTTCTAAGTTTTTGGTGAAAATCTTTGATACAGTTAATGCAAACAGTTATGACCCCACAGACATGTGTAAAGCTTTACATAAATACTTTCCAGTGGTTTAGGGAATATAACTTGCAGTATATAATTTGTCAAAATGCATACATGTACTAAATTTATAGGTATTGGGCATAATGCTACACTGATCAACATTTACAATTTTGAATGAATATTAATTAGTTTAAAGAGAATATCTCTAGTGGTTGAGTAAAACGAACTTCCGTGTAAACCATGATTGTTAGAATCAGTGCTAGAGTTATTGATCTTGAGTACATGTAATTACACTAGTGACTATAAACTCAATTTATCATTAAACACACCCAAAACAATCTTACAAATTGACAAACATTTACCTTAGTCTGTACAAGCTCAGAAAACTCTCTTTTTGTCCAATGCCTGTCCTTAAAAAATTTTGTTGTATTTCTTTTATAGAACAAATCCCAATTTTTCTGGGCTTCAGCTTCAAACTTCTTCTGTTTAAACTCTGTAACAACCCTTTTGTCTTTTTCTAAAGCCTCTCTCTCTTCACAGGTCAGTTCTCTAAGTCTTTGAGTAACTTCAGTGACTTCAGGAACATCATTTGAATATTTCAGTTCTGTATTTCCATGACAGCCACTGCTGACATTATTTTCCGCACAGGCTGCTGTATCATTTGTGTCCATGCTTAACGTTTCAAGTCTATCACCAGTGAGTATTTATCAACAACTTTATTCTGTTATCAATGATTTAAAACCTAGATAAATAGATTAAAAAACTGATTTATTTAGCCATAATTTCATTAAAGTAATGCATGTAAAACGTGTTATTTAAAAGCAAAATATCAGTACAATATTGGTAATTTCCAAACATTTATTAACCTAATGTTTTCAATATTTTTTAACTAATGCTGCAAATGTGCAGATATGTTATAAGCCCAATTTTCTAAAAAATATGATACATATGTGGAAGTTAATACTTCTTATAAAAATCAAAGATGTACAAATCACTTTTTTTGTAACTAACTTAAAATATGGTTCCAATCAAATAAATAATTTCTAAATGCAATGCCTTCGTTGAAAATCATGTTTTTTGCATATTTATCATACAATATCTATAAACATGACACTTTAAAGACAGTAACTGCATGACAACAGCAGTCAGTGCACATTTCTTACTCACAACCAGGATTCATTAAAGGAAAATTATAATTTGTAATGGCTATAGAGACAGAACATTCAACAATGTCTTAAAGCTACAATTTTTTTTTGTCTATGTACCACGATGCCCCATGTTGGACCCCATATGTCACAGGGTTATAAAAAAAACAATTGCAGACTGACTGTGACTCAACTCTGGACTGTTTTTCTTAAATGATGTTTTGTACATATATCTTCTGTCATAGTTGTGTATGTCTGTGTATTCTAGTGAAAGGGGCTCCAGTGTATATTAAATTAAGGGAAATCCTCACTTTATGGTTGGAAAATGTAAAATAAAAATCAGATAAAGAAAAATGACATGATAAATTACAGCAGTAATCATATAAATTTAAGTTACATGTACATGCAGTACATTGAAAAAAAGCACTTTTATTTTTTTTCTATGAAAAATAGAATGGCATTCACCATATTAAGATGTTCTTTCTACATGTTCTGAAACAATGTTCTTGTCCTGTATTTGGTTAATTAAGTAAACATGTTTATAAATTCCTAATCCATGAAAATGTTTAAATAAAAACAAAATGACAGGCATGTACAGCATACTATAACTATAGAATACAATCACTGGGAGTAAGGTAATACTAATTTTAATTATAAACACTTATACCCAATATAAATACATGGGGATGCCAGAGCAAAGTGGGCTTATTGAAAATGTTTATTTTAATTATCCATACAAAAATGATAACTTTATAGATGATCTTTCATTTTTCTTATTAATAATTTATTGAGTTAAGACGTAAATAATCACTTACATGAACATATCATTTGTGTCATTTCAAAATCGCTAATCTAACTTTTAAAAAACTATGTTCAAATCATGTAAAATATATTGTATTAAACATACAGTATCATGTAATAACATGTCATATACAATAACAACAATTTTTCATCACTTTATCTACATAAGAGAAATACAACTGTAAACTGAAACAAAATAACACTTATAACAAAATTACTGGCACTGGAATGTTGACAGTAAGAAATAAATCCCTACCTACATTAACCCTTAAACTTTTTTCAGCAATGTTCCCTGAACCACACATATTTTTTTAACATTTTCAAAACCTTGTTGCTTATTTCAATATCAAATACTACAGTATAAATTTCATATATATCCTCCCCCGAATGAATAACGATTCGCCACAATAACGATTCACCACAGAGTATGTACATGTATAAACCTGTTTGTAACATAATGAAGGCCTAAAAATACTTTCAATTTATCAAAGAGTAATATGAGAATAGAAAGAGAAATGTTAAAAGAAATCTTAAACATCAGAAAACATAAATTAACCCATCAGAAAACATAATTAATTTTAAAATCAAATTTAAGATTAAGAATTTCATTTTGGGAAAATCTTGAAATGAAAGCGTCTTAGCAACTATTATTCTATATTTTTTACGGGGAAGTCAAAGACCGGGCCCGCGAAGCGAGTCCGGGCTTTGGCTTGCCCAGCTATAGACTACACGTGTCTATTTAAAATAATAAAAAAAAAAACAATAAAAAATATATAGAATTCTATACCTATCAATGAAATTTTCAGTGTCAGTTCTAGTCGGGCGCCGCCATTTACAATGTAACTCAATGATAAAAGGCGGGGTATTCCGATAACGGAACAATTCTCAACTTTTCGGATTAATAAACGGAAGCAGTGCATGTAATACCGAATGACAACTTTAAAACGGAAAGAATGAAAGGATTTTTTTTAACAACTTCCCCGTTCATAAGCTTTGCCTAATTTCATATTATTAAGTTGCGTTTAAAGGGAAATAATTTTGCTTACAATTTATCATAGACTTGAATCAGTCGAATTTTACGTATTTTACAAACGTTTTATCAAAATAGTCCCGTTTCTGGAAACGTACTTTCGCAAAACTTGATATTAGGATTGATAGAATTGAATCAATCTGACTGAAGTTCAGATCTACTTATTTCTTACAGTCATGTAGATTTGATATCCACCTTATTTGTTTCGCCTTCATTCCGATTCGGATTTCCTGAGTTTGCTAATTCTAGCCAGTCTGACAAATCATTTTTTAACCTGTTAAAAACAGGCGCTAGTCACATAATCAAATATTTTACATAACAGGTCTATATATGTATATTAAGATATAAGGCCCCCAACGGAACAAAAACATCATGCAGAACAAACAAGAACACTGTGCAAGAAGCGACTGTTAACTGAATAGTTTTCACTCTGTGGCAAATTGTTATGTTGCGATTCTTTAACTGTTATGTGGGATTGTTATGTTGCGATTCGTTAACTGTTACGGTATTTGGAAAAATGATATTGCGTCTAACCCTTCCCCTGCCCCTTTACATTTTCAAACACCCGAAACATAAAAATATCCGAAAACCTTATTTCTTGGAAAAGAGTCAACTCGGCCCTATACCAACTCGGCACGGGTCAACTCGGCACGGGTCAGCTCGGCCCACTTTACAAAAATATATATAACGTATTAATTTTGCTTTGCATGTTGTTAAGGTAAATGAATGATAAGAAATATCTTATTATTTTATAATATTGTACTTCTGCCGAAATAAAATATATTTAGAAAAAAAATGTTATTTATTTGTCTTGCAGATAAAATTAATATAGATCTAATAAAAATGTGTTTCCTTAGATGCATTTTGTTTTTAAAGTAACATTATTATCGCTAGTTTGGGACGATTAAATGTCCTATTTTAAAATTTATTACATCAATTAAAAAGCTGGTAATCTAAGCTTTCTCTCGGTATATATTCTTTGACACTGAAGGTATTTAAATTTACGGTTAAACCTACCACGAGTCAGAAATACAGTGAGATACGCAATCAGTTATCTTTACTCGCAATTCTACTGATAAGAAAAGCCTGTCTGCTGCTAGTTCGGAAACTGTCAATCCGTGTATTATAAATAATTACCATAATTACAATAAATAGTGATAACACACTAAATATTAATAATTGAAAAGTGGGCCGAGTTGACCCGTGCCGAGTTGGAATAGGGCCGAGCTGACTCGGGGGCCGAGTACATTTTAGGGCCGAGCTGACCCGGATTCTTATTTCTATGTATGCGCATCGCGAAATCTGATTACTTCAATTTTAAAGCATCTTTAAATAAATTGTCACGAAATTTATTTGTATAGCTAAATGTAGATATAAAATATTTTGATCTTTTAATTCATGTTTTTACCTTTTCCCAGATTTTTTGGTATTTTTCAGAAATTTATCGTGCAATGTAGTTGTTGTTGTAGCCACTTTGATCTGCATCTTCAGACGAATTTATGAGAAAATGCATTTTAAACCAAAAATTTAAATGCAAAGAAAATAATCTTTGATTTTATATTTTATATTAACGACAGAAAATACACATTGTATTAATTATGTTTCATTTGCTGTTTTACATTTTTTAATTCCTACTACTTTTGTTTTCTTTAAGTGTTTTTTTACAAGCTTCTCAAAGAGACTGACGCGTATGCGAAGTTCCTCGGACATTATCGTTAAAGCTCATTTTTCAGAAATTATAACAGCTGTTCGTGAAAAGTTTATAAAATAGCCAAACAATGAGGAAATAGTGACAATTTTAAATTAAAAATGACTGATAAATCTTTGTCTGTCGATAATAAACCACATGAATTAAAAATTGGTGCCAGTTTTGACCAGAAATCAGGGGTAGCCTACCATTCCATAAGATGTGAGTAGTTAAACTGTGCAGTGTATTCATTTAATTATATTCAAAACGAAATTTCTAAATATCATTTTTAAAAAAATTCTTAAGATAAGCAGGGTCATAGTTAACATTTGGTATTTTAGCATGTACGGCACACAAACATTGTTGGTGAAAAGCTAGCTCACTACCAAGAGTGGTTTGTCACAACCTAAAACACAAACTTTTTGTCCTTATATATGTCACAGGGTGAGAAAAATGTGCAGCCTGACCGCAACTCGAACACAGGGACCCTCAGAATACCGTTCCATGGCGCTATCGGCTGAGCTATCAGGCCGCTTACACATTTTCTCCCCTAATAACTAAATAAGTGAACAGTTCTGAAACGTGACATATATGGGAAACATTCCCTTATGCAGAGATTGAAAATTCCACTCATCTATTGTATTTATGAGTAGAGATTGATGCAGGATGTGTACAAAATGGTAAAATGCTTGTCCGGCATGCCTAGCAGAAATTTGCGGATGTAATAGGAAGCTAGAATTCTCATAATCAGTTTATTTACTTTTAACAAGGGAAAACCGGAAACAAAGCTTGTGTGTTAAGTTAAGTATAAATTGCGAACTAAATACATATTGTTACTGGAACATGCCCAACAATGCTCTATAAAATGCATGATTTATCACAGATTTATATTTATGGTAATTAAAATCCGTGGACTTATTTCATACATAACCTAAAACACAAGCTTTGTTTCCGGTTTTGGTTCCTTATTTGCGTAAACAAACAGATTTTGAAAACTTCTAGCATTCGATTGCATTGGCGAGGTTTTATTGCTTAGGGGAGACTGATTTTGAAAATGGTGCCCAAAATGCAGGATGAGAAACAGGACAAGTAGAAATTTGAAGGACTAGCGGCGCTAAAACAATTTCGATCCCTGTCTCATGTTCATTCACCAACTTATTTATGATCATTATCAGAATTATGACATTCTACCAATGTCATTACACTATCGATATGAAATTAAAATGATTTTAACTAAAGTGCTAATTAATGGCTTGTAACCTGAGACTTTGTGTGAAAAAAATATTTGTGTATTAGAGAATCTGACTACTAACTTGGAAGTCTTTGGTTGGAATACCAATTATGAAATGTATGGCCAATGTAGGAAGTCATAGTTGAACCAAAATTAAAAGAGCACTTAATGTTTTATTGAGGAAATTTTCATTCTGTTTTTTGTATAATTCATATAAGAGTATAAAATAAAACAGACACTTTTTTAAAAAGACTCTCCAGATAAGATCATTAAGATACATGTATGCCAGTTATATCCTTATTATATACACATCTTTATATACTATATATAGATATCATGTCATACATTTTCAGATGATTTCAAGCCAGCATCTGTAGATACAACTCAAGAAGCTCAAGTAGATATAGGTCAAGGTCACCATGTGACGCTGACAGTGCCTCATGTGGAAGTAAGTTATAGAATTCTATGAAACTTCATAATAATTTCGATTTATACTAATGACTGAGCAATGTAGTAATTCTTTTTAAATGTTATCTCTGGTTTGAAAGGTAGGCTGCTAAGCCTTACCACTTAGCTTAGGTCTGCTCCTTTATATTTTGGTTCTTTGTTTACATATATATATAAAAACACTCTGCTCTAAATTAAGTAAAGAAGAAAGTATGCTCATCCAAGATATACCTTGTATACATTTGTTGAATCTATCTTGTTATCTTTTACTCTTTTGTTGCATATACATGTAGTCAAATCTGTGTTAAAGAAAACCTCTGAATAAAGATAACCCTGCAAATTAAAGCCACTTTTTGAAAACCCTTCATAGATAAAATGAAATGAAGTAACCTCCAAATTAATTAAGAACACTTCTATAAAAGCCGTGAAATGTGTCACCCTTAGATGACCTTTGTTCACAGGTTTGACTGTACATGTACAAAAAAATGTTCTTCAAGAAATGTATTACAAGGTTTCATCATACATGACTATTTATGATAAAACTTGTATGTTACAGGGTTCAGGAAAGACACACACAGTATACAAGGGCAACAAGAGACCAGTATCTAAGGAATGTGTACTGATTATTGATCATGACACTGGAACTTTCACCCTTGAACGGCTGAAAAATAACATCAATGTTAAGAAGACAAGGTTTGTTACTTTCTATCTCAGTTAGTTTTAAAATTATTTTATGAACAATAATGTTTTATGAAAAGTATACAAAGTACAGTTTCTTAATATTTAACTGGTTTTACTGATTTACAAAAAGTGAAGTCTGGAGTTATTATGTTTAATGAAAATTAAACATGTAGAAATGTTTATGAAGCATACAAGTTGAAATGCTTTTAAGTCCCCTACCGGTTTACCGGAGGGGACTTTAGGTTTTCCCTCTGTCCGTCTGTCTGTCAGTCTGTCAGTCCGTCCACAAAACTGGATCCCGCGATAACTTGAAAGTACTGAAAATATTTTTATGAAACTTGATATATGGATAGATGGCAGTATGGAGATTATGCAAGTCTTTTTCTTTTCTTCCTATGTTGCTATGGCAACAAATAAACTGAAATTATGGCAAATTTTACACATAAACTGGATCCAGTGATAACGCAAAAAGTACTGGAAATATTTTTATGAAACTTGAAATATGGGTAGATGGCAGTCGGGAGGTTATGCTCGTCTTTTTCTATTCTTCCTATGATGAAAATTCTGGTTGCTATGGCAGCACATAGACTGAAAATATGGCAAATTTTATACATAAACTGAATCCAGTGATAACTCAAAAAGTACTGGAAATATTTTTATGAAACTTGACATACGGGTAGATGGCAGTCTGGAGGTCATGCATGTCTTATCTTTTCTTCCTATTTTGAAAAAAATATTGGTTGCCTTGGCAACAAATAGGCTTAAAACATGGCAAATATAACAATATTTGTGATAAGTCAAAAAGAGCTGAAAATTTTTATGAAATTGCATCTTTAATTCAAGAGTTATATCCTCTTTAAGAATTTTGCTTTCAAAAATGTTATATTTTGATTACAGGGATGTTTCAAATATTAACTTTAGAGTGTCCTTCAGTCTGTCTGTCTGTCTGTTCATAAAAACTGTTTCCTGTGATCACTTTTAAAGAACTTTTCCAACAAATTAACTTGAAATAGAGAAAAATTGAAACATTAGTGAATGGCCAATGGCCCTTCAGAATGTTGATGGGGTTCTAACCGTTAGGGGACTTATGGATTGCTTGCAATACTATGATAAGTGCTTGTTTAACATGACAAAAAAATTGAGTTTGTTTACATATCTAATTCATTTATATTTTTTTATGATATTCTATACTTCTAAAGCACTTTTTTCATGCACATTAACACATTCAAAAGTACTGTACAGTATAAGCAAATGAAAAATAAACAATATTTAAAAACAAATTAAAACACTAATAAGTCACAAATTCAATTCAAATGTAGTTAAAAAAGTTAAAGACATCCAGTTGTCTAGATGGGATATAAATGTCTAGCATGTTTCGTAAGTAAATAGGTGCCTGTCCATGAAGCGCCTTAAACACATATGTAAGGAGTTTGTACTCGACTCTGATATGCACATATTTATTTTGGGTTTAATGAGGGCTCCTTCAATTCATGGTGGTTTGACAACATAACATCTTTAACCAGGGGAGAAGGACATTACATACCCCTCTGTGCATTGTTTAAAGGATGAGGAAAGTTTACATTAGTTTACATACTGACCAAAATATCCATGAGCCGCGTCACAACAAAACCAACATAGTGCGTTTGCGACCAGCATGGATCCAGACCAGCCTGCACATCCACGCAGTCTGATCAGGATCCATGCTGTTCACTTACGATCTCTATTACAAGTAGAGAAACTGATAGCGAACAGCATGGATCCTGATCAGACTGCGCGGATGTGCAGGCTGGTCTGGATCCATGCTGGTCGCAAACAATTGGTTTTGTCATGGCGCGGCTCACATTATGATTATGTAGATAGGTGCAGACATTATCAGTGTTTTTATCATCATGATTTGTTTCAGGATGGAAGGGAGCAGTAAGGTTTCTTCTGCAGGGCGACCCTTGACCCCAGTTGAACCTCGACAGAAAAGTTCACCAGGAAAGACAAAACCTAGTCAAAGCCCAAGTGTTCAGCATAAAGACCCTTCCCCACCCCCTCCACCACCCTCGAATCCTGTAAATGGTAGGTATCCTTTAGCTTTATGTCCTTGTTATAAAAAAGATAAAAAGATTCAAACAAGATAATATTATGTCCTGTCAGGGCCTTTTCCCCCTTCTTTGCTGTAGCCTGTATCAGGCTACTTCCCCAAGCCAAATTACTACCTTTTTTCCCCAAAAAACAGTCTAAATTTCCCCTTCTGGCAAATATTTCCCCTTTAACTGAAGAATAAAACTTGTAAAGAAACTTTCTTGTTTTAAAATAGATAATTGTTTTGTCCAATGAAAGCTAATAATTCAATAACTCAATAGAGGGATACCTTGATTTAATACAATTGATGTTAACTCAGAGCCTCAGTCTGAGTTTGCAACTTTCTAAAAACAGCATGGGAAATCCTGCTGCCTTATTTTTTAGTGCACATGTGATTTGTTATGACAATATGGCGACCGATACGATGTCACTAATGTAAACAATGTCACAGAACAAGAAGAAAATACGATTGGAGTGACGTTTGTAATTGTTTATTAAAAATTGGATGAATTGATGACCTTGTGTCCGAGTAGCACAACATGCCCAACTGTCGGAAATAGCGAGCCTAGCACATCAGTGCCAGTAATACAGTGTAAACTGATAATAATGTACCCTCTGAATCAAACCAAGAACCCTCACATGACCAACATAAAATACTATAAATAGGAAATATGAGTTAATATAAAGGGTCAATAAATTGATCTGTAAAAAATGTTTTTTACTCCTGTTGGACAGAAAGCTTAGTACTATAGTAAACCTTAAATGTGATTGGAGGAAGATATGCAAATAAATTATGATATTCCCCCGAAATGTGTGAAAATATGATATTTTCCCCAAAAGTGTGGAAATCGCGCATTTTTTCCCCACAAAAAGGGCTAGGGCGCCTTCCCAAAAACTAGTGAAAAGGCCCTGCCTGTCATGATCCATTAATCAGCCATTTTTAATGAAATTCTTCCTTGTTAAGTGGTTACTTTTAACATCTCATGAGCTGTAACAGATATTTATAGCATGTGTTTTTAGAAATTAATGACATTTGTTCTTAATATTTTTATATATCTACGATCTGTCTATGATTCTGAGTATTTTTGTTTTTGGACATCAATGAATAGACTCATCTAGGTTATAAAGAAATCAATGGCAAAGCACTGTAAAATAAACATTTTCCTTGTTTTAAAACAGGTTTATAAGAGATAATAAGTTCATCACTAATTTCTCTTTGAAAATGTAAGGAACTCCATGAATGAGAGGTACATTGTATTTTAGTAGAAACTGTTGTATTATTTCAGAGAGTCTTGTAGGAGATATAAGTGATAGTTCTAGTGATGACTTTTCCTCAGATTCTGACAGCGATGCTGAAATTAATACACTAGATACAGGTATACCTTTGTTGTTATATAACAAAGTTTATTATATATTGGTTTATATTCTGTCACCTGATATATTACATGTATAATAATAGTTGTATTACATAAAAAAACCTGCAACACATACTGCATAATTTTAAAGGATATTGCAGGGGCATTATTGTAGGGGCATGCATGATAAATAATCCTTCCCATCCCACTCACAGTAATATTTTGTTGTCTATAGGATATAGGTAACATCATTGTTTGCATATAACATGATTTATTGATTTTTTATGGTATTTTATCAAATTTATTTGGGTTTTGGGTTTGGAAAAAAAAAGTCATTTTTCTTAGCTTCGTTGATTTTCTTCCTTGTAGGTTTAATATAGTTTGCTTTAAGTCTAAAAAAATTTGTACAAGCATCCATTTGTCATACCATATTAAATTCCTGTAAATCTTAGGAATGTCTCGTCAAATACAGTACTCAATAATAATGAAATAGCGCAAAGTAAAAATTCAATTTCACATACCCGTGCAGATTTTGCGACAATGTAAAAATGGTATTGCATGGCCATGCAAATATTTTGACATGACATCATTTGCCTTATACAAACATAGTGTAAAGACGTGCTAAATGTTAGCTTTAAACTGTAGACGCGTCAATGAAAAACGACTCTATTTCACTTTAAATGGTCTGTATTTTTGGTATGTGATAAATAGAATATTAAATTTGTGTAAGTTCATTACTGAATTTATTGAACTCGTTGAATAAAATAATATTATGCTCGCCAATTCAGTATTGAACTTACACTCATTCAATATCCTCTGTTTATGAAACATGTCTTTAACACTGTTATTTTTACAAAGTACATCAGTAAGTAAGACACATTGTATGTTATGAAACCTATTACTTTATTGTTTGTAGGACGACCGCCAGTACCAATGACAGCAACTCAACCGTCGGTGCCTCCACCACCACAAAATACAAATACTGACTCTAACGGAATGATTAGTATGATCAGTAAGTTTATACACTATTTATTACATGCTTTTTGGTGGTTTACAGAAACATAGCAGTGAAATATAAAACTGATATTTCACTGTTTGAAACAGTGAAATTATCAATTTGATATTTTTCACTGTTTTGAATTTAAGCCTGTTATGTTGTTTCAGTGAAATACCAGCATGCACAGTACTGGAAACCAACTTAATGATGTGACGTTGTAAATGACGTCACATTGTATTATTTTTGGTGTGCTTTTCATTTTGTATTAGGTAAAAATATCTTTTTAAACATTTCTTTGCATATACGGTAATAAAAAGAAAATTTGTTTAGTTTAGTTTAGTGTAAGATCAAAACATATTTCACCTTGTGAACACCAAAAGTTTATATTTCACTTGTGGCTGCGCCACTCGTGAAATATGAACTTTTGGTATTCAAAAGGTGGGATATATTCTGATCTTACACTGAACTAAACAAATATCCTGACCTCTATTTATATGTCTTTGTTTTAATGCAAATTCATTCTGTGTTTTGTTAAACTGTCAGGTGCTTGCCTTTCTAAAGCCTATTTAGCCTTTAATCTTTGTTTTAGAGGAAAACATGGCTGTTTTCATGGGGGTGGGGGGTAAGACTAAGGAACTAACTGCATTTCCATTAGACAATCTTTTGATTTATTCTTATCATTATATATTTGAATTAATTTAAAATTTGTTAATCAAAACAAATTGATGCATAAAACAAGGTTAGGGCATTTTATTATTGCCAGATATACCAGGACATTGTCACTGTTTTTACAAATAAAATAAACCCCTTCTAGGCAATATGCAATATTTATAGCATTGACTTAAATTTGCTAGGCTTTAAGAAATATATGTATTAAAAACAACTGTTGATTTGTTGGGAATGTTCTGGGGATGAAATATGCTGTTTGTCTTCTTGTTTATAATATTTTTTTTACAACCATACAGAACAATATTCTTGTGTCTTGATCATACAGGTGCAGATCTCCAACTGAGTGATTCGGACAGTGACAGTGACTGAGGGAGGTTCAATAGAATTTTATCTTGATAAGCAGTTGCTATATACTGAACTAAATTAACTTATGGTGTGAAGTGACTCAGTCAGCTTGTAAAGATATCAACATAATTATTGTCCTGGCAATTCTTACCACGAAGATAGTCTTTTGTTATTTATACATATATGAGAAAATAATATACATTTCTAATAACATGCGAGATATTTGAAAATTTAGAAATACAGAAGGTACACATTTCTTTTATATGGCATAGTTATTATCTTTAGTGATTCCATGGTTACAAAGATAACCGGTACACTGTCATAGGATATTGTTATTAATGCTTATGATATAGTATGTACTAAGATGTGTGTTATAAGTTTACGAGTAAGGCAATTCTGATACACATACATGTATATTGTGGTTTACTAATGTTGTTATCAGTGCCAAGTTATTACAGTGATTATTATTACACAAGTGTCAAGTTATTGTTTTAGTCCACGTGATTGTTGAAGTTATTACATGTCTGAGATTATTGTGATCATTATTTCATTATATTAATGGAATGTTTTATTATTTACGATTTATTTAGTAAGACTATTTGATCACTGATCAGGATCCATGCTGTTCACATACAAACCCTATAAACAAGTAGAGAAACTGATAGCGAACAGCATGGATCCTGATCAGACTGCGCATATGCGCAGGCTGGTCTGGATCCATGCTGGTCGCAAACCCATTATGTTGGTTTTGTCGTGACACGGCTCATATTATTTCATTATATTAATGGAATGTTTTATCATTATCGGTTTATTTAGTAAGACCATTTGATCACTGTATTGTATGGTGTTGTTATTATACCTGTGATCCTATATATTTGTTACCCATGTGTTTGTTTTATTGTCAACAATCGCACATCAGTTTGGTTGTATGTAATGGTTGACATTTAGATAATGCTATCTTTTGCCTTTGTTACATTGTATTCTTAACCCATTGAACAAATGTGACCTGTTTCAACTGACTTTTTCATTTGCAAAACAAAAAACAATATCCATGGATCAAATATTGATACTGTTAAACTACTTTAAGGAACTCCACTGAGGCTTTTTGACATGACAGGATTGGCAATATTTTATCTAGATATATGTTCTATTAAATGTAAATCTGAGTGCAAATTTTCAGAGCATTTTATCCCATTTTTTCTAAAATCATAATTTTCATTGTGAATAATGACCCAAAATGAAAAGAATTGCACTATCTTTTGATTTTCAATTTAATTCTGGATATATATGTGTAACACAGTGTTAATTATCCTTTGCAGATTTTTCAATTTAATGTGCTTAAATTGATCCATGTAAAATGTTTAGTTTTTTTTTTAACTTAAGCAGAGCTTCTTTAGATAAAATACAGTTTAATTCAGATAAAAAATGCTAACGGTTTTAATGTCGATGTTAAACCATGTTAAACATTTAACCGACTGTTCTAATAAAGTCTTTAGATTTTCAACATAAATTTTGGGGCTTTTTTATGACAAGATATGCCAGTTTGTTTGTTTTTTGTTGTACTCAAAATGATTAGAATACATGTTCGAATATGGAGTAACTATTTTCAGCTAGGATCGTACCGTATTCGATAATTGTCTTATTCTTGTTATAAAAAAAACTAAGGTAATATTTAGAATTTCTGCTCCTTTGTCAAACACTAACTTCAGTTACCAGTTATTGAATTTTCTCACCAGTTTTTAGCTAAAAACTGATTGTACCCGGTAACAAAATGATTTTGTACAGGCATTTCTGTTTTTTTACAGCTCAGTTATTATTAATATTATTGAATTTAGTAAAATATTTTAGAATAGTTTACAATTATATATTTATTAAACATACATAAAACACATGGCTTTAACCATATTATAAGTGAAGTCTCATTTTGAAAATGTATGATTGCATTTGTTGATGTTGAATGTGTTACATAATTGTAAAGCTTTTAACCTTTTTCTCATGTGATGTAAATAAATGTTGATTTGGTAACATTTATATTTGTTGTTGAAATTTTTTTATTGTCATTCGAGTATCAATAGCACGTAACACAGGATGGGAGTTGATTCTAGCTTGCACTATCTGAAGAATAGGGTGAGCTATTGTATTCACCAAGGCATCACCGTCACATTTTAAGTTAAGTTTTTGCAAGTTGGTATCTCCAAAAGCACTGAAGGGAAGTGGGTTGAAACTTCACACACTTATTTGAGAACTTATTTGAGAGCATATTAGGAGGTCACTGACAAAGGCCACTAACTTACATGGATATTTACAGAATTAATGGCATTTTTGAATTTTAGAAAATTCTATATTACCCAGGCTCTTCTTTATCTATAAAACACTGAGAATAGTGGAGCACTCTGTTCTGCCAACAGCTTTTGTGTAATATTATTGTATAGAATTTGAATCAATAGAATAAAGTCCCTTTATTACTTATATTTTGTTCCTGTTGTATTGGAAAGGTCACTATATGCCTTACTTTTGTTGTATGAAATATAACTGAAGTTCCTTACTTATTATACCCACACAACACAGTGTGTAGGGGTAGCTAATAAGGAATCATGTTTGTTCTGTCCTGTACATCCTATCCTATTTGTTTTTCACTTAAAACTTTAAACAGAACAGAACAAAGTCTTTATTTGTAGACTTGAGCTCTATGCTCCTTGTCTATTAAATTAAATATATATGTATATATGAAGGGTCATAAGAGTGCTCAGTTATATATTAAGTTATATATAACATTTTATCACATTTTGACAAAGTTATGATTCTTGTTTGAATTTGCAGAAAAATCGAGCTAATGCAGTCACCCATTTGTCAGCGTCGGCGTCCCCGTGGTTAAGTTTTTGCATGTAAGGTGGTATTTTCATAACTACTGAAGGGAATGGATTGAAACTTCACACACTTGTTCTCTGTGATAATTTAACATGATTGGCACAAAGCCAATATCTTTGATTTGCTTTTTTGCATAATTATGTCCCTTTTTTCGACTTAGAAATTCTTGGTAATTTTTACGTGTAAGCTGGTATCTCCATAACTACTAAAGGGAATGGATTGAAACTTCACACGCTTGTTCTCTGTGATTATCTAACATAATTGGCACAAGTTCCTTAACTTTGTTTGGTTTTTAGCTCACCTGTCACAAAGTGACAGGGTGAGCTTTTGTGATCGCTTTTCTTCCAGCGTCCATCCGTCCGGCGTCCATCCGTAAACTTTTACTTTAAATGACATCTCCTCATAAACCACTAAGCCAATTTCATCCAAACTTCACAGGAATGTTCCTTTGGTGGTCACCTTTAAAAATTGTTCAAAGAATTTAATTCCATGCTGAACTCTGGTTGCCATGGCAACATAAAGAAAAAACTTTAAATGTCTTCTTTTAAAAAAACGTAAGAGACAAAGCTTAGATATTTAGCATGAAACATCTTCTAATGAGTGTCTACCAAGTTTGTTCAAATAAAAGCCCTGGGGTCAAAATTGGCCCCGCCCCAGGGGGTCATTGATTTTTCCTATATGCATATAGTAAAAACTTAAAAAATCTTCTTTTAAAGAACTCAAAAAGCTAGAGCTAAGATATTTAGCATGAAACATGTTCTAATGGGTGTCTACCAAGTTTGTTCAAATAAAAGCCCTGGGGTCAAAATTGGCCCCGCCCCGGGGGTCATTGATTTTCCTTATATGTGTATAGCAAAAACTGAAAAAATCTTCTTTGAAAAAACCCAAATAGCTAGAGTTTAGATATTAAGCATGAAACATCATCTAGTGAGTGTCTACAAAGTTTGTTCAAATAAAAGCCCTGGGGTCAAAATTGGCCCCGCCCCAGGGGTCATTGATTTTCCTTATATGTGTATAGCAAAAACTTAAAAAACTTCTTTGAAAAAACCCAAATAGCTAGAGTTTAGATATTAAGCATGAAACATCTACTAGCGAGTGTCTACAAAGTTTGTTCAAATAAAAGCCCTGGGGTCAAAATTGGCCCCGCCCCAGGGGTCATAGATTTTCCTTATATGTGTATAGCAAAAACTTAAAAATCTTCTTTGAAAAAACCCAAAAAGCTAGAGTTTAGATATTCAGCATGAAACATCTTCTAGTGAGTGTCTACAAAGTTTGTTCAAATAAAAGCCCTGAGGTCAAAACTTGCCCCGCCCCAGTAGTGTCATTGTTTTTAACTATAATGTGTATAGTAAAAACTTACAAAATCTTCTTTGAAAAAACCCAATGAGCTAGAGCTTAGATGTTTAGCATGAAACATCTTCTTATGGGTGTCTACCAAGTTTGTTCAAAATAAAGCCCTTGTGTTAAAATTGGCCCTGCCGGGGGGAAGATCATTGTTTTTCATCATATGTGTGTAGTAAAAACTTAACATGAAACATCTTCTAATGGGTGTCTTCCAAGTTTGTTAAAATAAAAGCCCTGGGGTTTAAAGTGGCCCCGCTCCGGGGGCCTATATACAGGTGAGCGACCTCAGGGCCATCATGGCCCTCTTGTTTCATAATTATGCCCCTTTTTCGACTTAGATATTCTTGGTTAAGTTTTTGCGTGTAAGCTGGTACCTCCATAACTACTGAAGGGAATGGATTGAAACTTCACACACTTGTTCTCTGTGATTATCTAACATGATTGGCACAAGTCCCATAACTCTGATTTGCTTTTTTGCATAATTATGCCCCTTTTTCGACTTAGAAATTCTTGGTAAAGTTTTTGCATGTAAGCAAGTATCTCCATAGCTACTGAAGGGAATGGATTAAAACTTCACACACTTGTTATTTGTGATTATCTTACATGATTGGCACAGGTTCCATAACTCTGATTTGCTTTTGTTCATAATTATGCCCATTTTTTGACTTAGAAATTCTTGGTAAAGTTTTTGTGTGTATGCTGGTACACGGTGATAGGGCGATTACCACAACTTTTCCGCGCAACGTCAAAATATCTTACTTCTGTCCGATACAAGTTATATTTCTGTGGTACAAAATGGACAGCAAGCCTGTAACCGAGACGAAAACAGCATATAATTTGCTCAAAACAAGATAAAATCATCATTTTTTCTTTTTCATCGAATGTGCCATTTAATTTGAAACTTATTTATCTTTACTACATGCAAAATGCTTTATTAGTTAAGTCAGGATAGTGAAAACATTTAGGGTATACTGAAAAAAATCTTGCTTTGATTACGAAATATAACGTATTTCTAGTCCGTTCAGTTCATATAACTGGTCAAAATACAATATAAATATTTACATTATTGTCGCATGAACAAGTTACAATACATTAATAACCCGTTTTTTTGTATATTTGGTATGATTTTTATGTTTCCACGTGTGTATTTTAAGGCACCGCACAACTTTGTCAATCATAAGATTAG